TCCAAGGGCTGTCCTACTGCTGGGCGCGCGTACGGGCCGCCGCAAACCATCCCAGGTTGGGGTCGAACGGCCGCTCGCCCCCCTTCGAAGTGACGGGGGCGCCCAGGGTTCCTTTCCGTATACATGCATATATGTGCACAAACCAATTGCGCAACATTCGTGAACGATCTTCTCATTGCCGCTATTCCTCTCGCGCCACGCAGTGCTTTTCGCGATATTGGGCCGCCTGTGGCTCATGTAGCGTGGTAGGCGCGGAATATGCATCGTCCAGATTGTTGGCGGTCGTCAATTCCGCTGCGGTGCTGGGTCTGGCCTGATGTCGACGTAGTTTGCATGTGTCGCCCCGCAGATGCACGGCGGATTTGTCATTGGGCGAATTTCGTCGCTGAGGCATATTTGCTCCTCGGATGCCGTAGCCTTCCGTCATCGCCCGCGCCGCCATCCAGTTTGCGGTGCCCGGGGTCGGTGTGGATGTCTCCTTTGCCCGTGGAGCGCGCTCGAGGAAAGAGTGTCCTCCTGGGACATTCGCTGGGCCTCCTCGCTGCAGCGTTCGGGCGACGTACTTGGATGTTCTTGGGCGCCTGAATTCTCTTCGAGGGGACCGCGTGGGCGACCCGCCAGGTTTGGGCGATGAGCTCGCGGGCTACGGCCCCGCAGAGGCTGGCATCTGTGTCAGGGTCACATTTGGTTGCCTTAGCTCCCGCGGGTGCGCAGGTAAGTTCTGGATGCGTTATGGATCTGGGCTGTTCGGTGCATTCGTCTTGGTCCATGACCGCGCCCCCGTCGTCGCATTTTATGTAATTGGCGGACGGCGCAGTTCGTGAAAAGTATTTTTTCTGCGATGTCACGTGCCAAATACCTGTTCGACCCGCCGAACATAGTCGTCCATATTCTTTACGAGTCCCGTCATATCGATGTCATCTCCGTGCTTTGCCGCGATGGGGTCAGGGCTGGTCTCCTGTTCGGGCTTGGCGATGGCTCGCGCCGTGTTGCGCTGCTTGAGCGAGACGCCCTGGGGGGCGTCCTTGGTGCCTGTGCTGGGTCTCGAACATCGATGATAATGCTGGCTTTCATCGTGCATGAAGAGTCCTGGCGGCGCGCGCGGCGCTTTTGTGCTTCCTGCTGGAAGCGTAAAAAGCACGCCGGGCGAGTCTCCTCGCCCGCGGCTGCCGCCAGATTCATGGGATTGAGGAATGCCCCGTCGACGCTCGCGGATGCGAGGGTCCATTCTGGATGGCAGGCTGCCCCGCTAGCGAGCAGTCGTTCTGACTGGAGGCGGGCGGCGCCGCGGGGGGCTCCAATGTCGGGCGATTCAACGCCTATTAAGCATCTGGGCAAGTCTTCGGCGGATGATTCGCACTTGCCTGCCATGTTCACCCGTTGCCCACTTTTGCCGCGTTCGCCACGTCGCGCGGCGTTGTTCTTCGCGGGAGAACCCGCCCGCTCAAATGTGAAGGTGGCTTTCGCCGCGGCGACAAATCAGTGCAGTTCTACATCCCTGCCGCTCTCGTCTTCATGCCCGCGGTGGCCCCCGTCGAGATCGGCGGGGCAACGGGGGGCGACGACCCGGAGGCTCGCCCCCGAGTTGGCTCAGGCAGACCCCCCTGCCGCTCGCCATTGTCGTCCATCGCTAACGCCAGCGCGCGCTGATCAGGGGGCATAAATGGTGGGGATGCGGTATATCGTCGTCGTAGATCGCAGACGGTGACTAAGTAAATGTATTTGCGTAATCCGCCGCGCCAGTCACCGAGTCTTCCAGCGTCCTCGACGTCGTGGTCCTGCTGTTTCTCGTGGGTTGTCGACGGGCGACCATCGCTACGGTCAGATGGCGCAGGCGTTCCAAAATCCTAACCGCGCCCGCGCCCGTCGTTTTGGCGGAGGAGCAGGGTTGCCCCGGAATTTCGCAAAGTCCCCGTCAAAACCCGCGGTGCGACAAGAGAATTTCAAACGCGCTAGACCAGACGAGCACAGGCACTACCGGTGTCACTTGGCACTGGAAGCTCGGTGCCCCCCCGCAGTCAAAATAGCAAAACCCAGAACTTACGTCGTTGTCGTAACGTGATAGAGTGCGTCTCAAAGCGTTAGACAGGAGGGAGGGGAGGACGTGCCCCTTTGGCGCCCCTTTGGCTGGTCTTGCTGCAATGACCTTTTCTGTGCGAATGCCAGTTCGTATGATGTTTTGCAAAGCCAAATGCGCCCTGGGGTTCGCATGGCTGCCCTCTGTCATCCTGGTGTTTCCTGTGCCATCAGGGATTTGTCCACCGATTGCGGCGGGCTTCCCGCTCCAAGGTTAGATGTGAAGGGCACCGCTGTTCGCGCGGCGATGCCGTCCATGCCTAATTCTCCTGCGAAGAAAGCTTGCGCGTGCAGAGGCGCGGCGGGCGTCTGCGCGTTGGGCCGCGACTTCGCGGGGCCAGCTTTAACTGCCAGTCGTCTACGTTCAGGCTCATTTCTGAGAGCGGGATAGGGCCCGTTCCAGCCGCCTAAGTCGCTCTTCGTCGCAGTGGGTCTGCGATGGTCCACGATGCCTCCAATTTTGAAAGCTGGGCGAGGGCTGCTACAGCCGTGGCTGCTAAAACGGCCCTCCCGGAAGGAAAAAACAACCTCCCGGAACGAGGCGCGGCGCGCGAAACAATCAACGGGCATCTTCCCGGAAAGGCGAAGACGACTTCCCGGGGGGCGATTTTAGCAGCCGCTGATTTCGCAGACCTTGCCCAGTTTCCGATTCGTGCAGGCGCGCCCCGCCAGTGGCTGCGTGAGCTCGCAGAGCGCGGTTTGTCTTGGCGACGGCAGTGGCTCGCGTTAGGACCTCAATGCAAATGTCGCGAACGCGCTGTTCGCATTCGCGCCCCGAGAATTGATGGGCACCTGGTGCGTCGGGTAAGTCCGCGTAGAGCAGCGCGGCCGATACTCGACTGGCAGAAGCCCTATATGGGGGCGCTCCGTCGTAGAAGCTGCAGGCGCTGCGCACGAAGGCGACTTCTGCAAGCGTGCGTTTGGGGCTGCTAAAGGTGTCGTGGCGCTTGAATTCTTCCGCGATCATGCGCGGGGTCGGTCTGAATGTTCCGTCTCGGATTTCTGAGGGCGCGCGGACTTTGCGGGCGATGCAAACTTGTGAGGCAGCCTCCCTATTTTGACCGCCATCGCCGTCGTGAAGGGCCTTGCAATGACAATGTGGCATGCAGCAGCAATAGTTCAACATCTATCGACACCAACAGTGGTAACACAACATGAACGAGCGACGCTTTCAATTTGTCTGGTATCTCTACCCCAGCGCTGAGACGGTTGCGCCGATCAATGATCGGGAAGGTGGTTGTTTCGTGTTCTTCTAAAACATCATGTCGCACGCGCATTCTTCATCGAACCTCCCAGGCGAATGTGCGAGGGAGACGCGGACATGCCGGGCCTCTCTCAGGCGCGGTATAATCGTCGCGCGTCTTTGGCCTCCTGGACCATTGACAACGCGGTGGTGTCAAGACCGACGTTGCTAAGGATCCGTCGCGCCTGATTGTTTTCTCCGCAGGTCGCATTTTCGTGGCTCCTTCATGATCACAGCGGGACCGTAGCTGACGAACACTTATGCGAATCAACTTGTATGTTGAATCAAATCCAATCAAAGAGTCTGGTTGGACCAATACCAAAATTGGCAAGTGGGTTCCGGGTAGCCCGAGTTTCGTCGGGTCGTGTGCCCGCTCGTTGAAAATGGCCCCTACGTGTTACAACCTGAGGTAGATCGCCTGATCTACTAGCTGGCGCGTTTCCGCGCTCATGGCTCGGATGGGGTGTCGCGGAGTACAGTAGGGGCCCGACCACAAGAAACCTTCCACAAAAAACTCAACCCTGAGACCCCAGGGTGTCCACTGATTTTCGGTGTTGGAGCGTCACGCTCTCCATCGCAAAACCATCGAAACGCAAGAAATCCACGGCAACCTGGAGGCAAACATGGTTTGTCTTGGCACGGGTGTCCACTGTATGTCGTTGCTGCTCGCTCCTGCTGTAGGGTCATCGTGGCGGGGACACCAGGGTCTGGAAGGTCTGAGGTGCCCCGAGCCTCTCAGATGACGACGGCGATTGGCCGCCTCCTGGTCCAAACTTTGGCGGTCCCATCGCCGTCGGGAACAGAGCTCTACTGTGGAGGCCTGGTCTTTCCCAATCGGATCGTGGGCATCTGGCAGCTTGAAGAGGAAAGCAAAACTGCTCTTGCTGGGCGTGTCGTCCAAGTCGTTTCGTACTTTCTGGCGCGGTCCTGCCTGCGTGCAGGACGCGGCCAGTGCGCTGGGACACCGTCGCACCAACGGCGCAGTGCAGTGCGGGGTCCGGTCTGTCACTGCCGAGAAGCCAGGCCGAGCCAGGCCAGGCCAGGCCAGGCCGCGAGATGCGCGGCAATCACGCGATCGTGCAGCGCGGAAGGCCTGCAAGAGCAAGGGTCAGCCGCATCAAGACGTCAGCTGCGACCAGTGGCGCAGAATCGCCCCTGCGTGGTGCACTCTAGTCAAGAGTTGTGTACGTATGTCTGGGGGGTCAGTACTAGGTGGGAGGCCAGAAACGCACAAAACAACCCCCACACACTCGACGCACACACTCGCACCCCACACTCACCCCCCACACTCTACGCCCACACTCGCGCCCACACTCTACGCGTACAATCGCTCTAGCGCTGGAGAAACCATCACCCTGCGTGATGCATTCCAGTCAGAGCGAGCTTCGTGGAGAAGGACGAGGACGACAACGCCGACGACGGCGACAGCCAGGGCGACGACGACGACAGCGACAGGGATAATGGCACCGACGACGACAATGGCGACGGCAGCAAGAGACGACGGCGCTGGCGGCGGCCGCGGCGGCGGTGCCGGAGACGCGGCGACGGAGAACGCGGCGACGACGGGGCCTCTGCCGACGACGATGGCAGCGGCGACGGCGGAGACGACGAGGGCGGCAGCGACGGCAGCAACAACGCCGGCGGCGTCGGTGGCGGCGGCGACGCACTGCACACGGGCCGCCTCGGCCTGCGCGGGCGCGAGCGCGGCCTCGCCGCTGGCGGCCTCCGCGCCGTCCTCCGGGCGGCGCCGGCGCGGGCGCCGCTCCGCCGCGGCCGAAGTCGGCGGCCCCCGTCGGCACTGGCCGGCAGCGGCCGCGGCACGGTCAGCACCAATTGAGCACCAATTGAGCACCTCCTCGTCCTCCTCGTCCTCCTCCTCCTCCTCTTCCTGCTCCTCTTCCTCCTCGTCCTCCTCGCCCTCCTCCTCCTCCTCCTCCTCCTCCTCCTCCTCCTCCTCGTCCTCCACGTTCACCTCCTCGGCCTCTGCGCGCGATGACACAGCGACCTTACGCGGTGGCTTTCGGGAACCGCTGGCGCGGCACGCTGCACCGGAAACGAGGGCGCTTACGTACGCGCGGCCGTACACGCCGGTCGGAAGAAGCAGGTAAAGGCATGAAGCAGGAAGGCGGATAAAGTAGATTGGGTCCAGGCCTTCGCAGAGAACAACAGAGCACAGCAAAAGCAGATCGACTCTTGAAGTAGGAAGACGTTTGAGATAGATTGGGATCTGGGAGCCCAGAAATACATACTTTTAACGACCGACGTGTACAGTTGAGGCCAGTCCACAAGAAACCTTCCACAAGAAACCTAACCCTGAGACCCCAGGACGTCCATTGATTTTGGGAGCGTCACGCTTTCCATAACAAAACCATGGAAGCCGTAGAAACCCAGGGCATCCTGAAGGCAGGCGAGGTGTTTCTTGGCATGGTCCCCCACTGCAGATTCGGATCTGGGAATCCAAGAACACCTACACACCGGTCGGAAGAAGTGGTACAAACATGAAGTAGGAAGACGTTGGAAGTAGACGGGGCTTCCGCCAGCCCCTGGAAGAGAAGGGAAGAGGAAAACCCGCTCGATCCTTGACATAAGAAGGCGCCTAAAGTACCGAAGTAGGAGGGGGGAAGAGGAAAACCCGCTCGATCCTTGATGCAGGAACCTGCTCGATATCTTTGAAGCAGGAGGAGGGAAGAGGGAAACCCTCTCGATCCTTGGGTATCCTAAAATACCTACTGTCACAGACCAGCGTGTACAGTCGGAGCGTTGACCTGAGGAACCCTAAATGAGGAACGGGGCCCCTTCTGCCCGTAAGTTAAGCTTCGACTTCCCATGGAGGACCTCAGGAAAACCCACGGCATACTGTAAAACAATCATGAAGGTGAACTGGGACACGCACAATAGACACAAATAACCCGATCCCCAATGTTTTCCAATATTTTCTGGGTTTCTGTCTTCCCCCCCCACTCCCCATATCTTCCCATATTTTCTGGGGAATCGACGATCCATTGTGTCTGTGTGTGTGTTTTCCCCCTCCCGAAATCAAGGCACCCCGAGCCCCTCCCCAACGGGAAAGGCTCCTTTTCCTCAGCGCCCCGACCGTGCTCTCGGCGACCGACGTGCACGCGGGCCGCGCCGTCGCCCCGTCCCCCCCCCGTCGCTCCGCTGGCATCGGGCGCGCCTAGTCGACGCCAAATCGACGCTTGATCGGCGCTGTCTCGTCGACGCCAGGGCGCTAGCCCGAGCAAATCGACGCGAACGACGGAATCGAGAGGGTACACCAGGCTCCCATGATTTGCCACCGAAGGAGCGAGCGAGCGGCAGCCGAAAGCGACGCCGGTCCAGCGCGGAGCGATCCGATGGGGCGCCGCGCGGTGGTTTTTTGCAGCGCCAGCAGGAGGCCCACGCCACGACTGCGCTCTCGGGCCTCGGCGAGTCCAGCGTCGGCGCCGCTGACCCGCGCGAGGGCCGAGGGGCCCGACAGTGCGATCAGGGTCGGTGGGGCTCTGGGGCACACAGCTGAATACTCCAGATCTCGTAAGAAAGGGAGGGGGGTCTCATTTCGGGGGGGGGTCTCTTCCAGGCTGTCTTGGAGGGCCTGGGGGGGTCTGGGGACGATGTTCTGGGGGGTTCTCCCACGGGGGGGTCTAAAACTTCTCGTCTGGGAGGGTTGAGACCCCCTCCCTTTTATTACGAAATCTGGAGTAGACACACCTGACAGGATCCCCAATGGTTTCCAATCTTTTCCGGGTGTTCGCCTTCCCCCCCAGTGTCCATCCTTTCCCATATGTTCGGGGGAATCGACGATTATAAGTGTGTCTGTGTGCTTTTCCCCTCCCGACAAAGACCGAGATGGATGGACCCCGCGCGAGGAGGGGGAACGAACGTACTGACCACCATAGCGGACGGCTGTCTGGGCCTGTTGGGGCCAGGTGGGTGAGGCCATGGCCTTCTGCAGACATACAGACATGCATTGGAACTGCGAGACACACGGTAGAGGGAAACAATGAGTAAACACCCCCCCCTGCCCTCCAAACTCGAAGTTGGCACGCGCGGGGGAGACTGCGGCCGAGGTGCAACTCGTCAGACTCACCGCCAACTTTGAACGTTGGAGGGAGGGGGAGGCGGGAGGCGTTGAACTGTGGCATGAGTGCTCGCTTTTATTTTTCCCGAGGCTTGCATCAAAAGGGCGGGGCCGAGAGGGGCCGACATCTTGGGGGGGGCGGCGGCGCCGAGCAAAGCATGCGAGAGAGAGAGAGAGAGATCCAACGGCACGCGCGGGCACGGCGCTCAGAGAGCATGCGCGCGCATGCAGGCCGACAGGCGTCGCAGGCGAGAGCCACCCGGTGCGCCTTCGATAGAGGGCAGAAGTTCCCCCCGGGTAGTGATCACCCCGACGCGCGAAACCGTCTAGTAAACGCACCCCCCAAAACAATTACCCCAGTGTGACGCTACCTAGAAGTTGGAGCCCCTAGGAAACCAGCATTAGTTGCTATGCTATGCTATGCTATACCACGGTATGCTGCGCTATGCTATGCTATGCGATGCTATGATATGCTGCGCCATACTATGCTATGATATGCTAAGCTATGATATGTCATGCTGCGCTGCGCTATGCTAAGCTATGCTAGGCTATGCTAAGCTGCGCTATGCAATGCTATGCTATTCAATGCTATGATATGCTATGCCATGCTGCGCTATGCTATGCTATGCTATGCTATGCTATGCTAAGATATGGCATGCGTGGCTATGTTATGCTATGCTACGCTATGCTAATGCAACGCTGCCCTATGTTAAGTTAAGCAACGCTAAGCTAAACCAACCTCCCGGCAGAGCCTAGGTAGGGAATTACACCCATGCTAATGCTTTGCTTTGCTTTGCGTTGCTTGTGCTTTGCGTTGCTGTCGCTGCTGTTGCTTTGCCTTTGCTTTGCTGCTATGCTATGCTATGCTATGCTCTGCTCTGCTATGCTATGCTGCGCTGTGCTATGCTGTGCTATGCTGTGCTATGCTATGCTATGATATGCTATGCTATGTTATGCTGCGCTGTGCTACGTTATGCTGGGCTATGCTATGATATGCTGTGCTGCGCTGTGCTATGCTACGCTATGCTATGTTGTGTTCTGCTATGCTAAAACTCAGCGGAGCTAATATGAAGGTAAGCTAAGCTAAGATAAACCTGAGCTAAGATGAAGCTAAGCTAATCTAAGATGACATAATATAAGCTAAGATGAGATAAGCAACGCTAAGCTAAGGGGACGTCACTGGGGGAACGGCGGGACGGATACTCGGGGAACCGCCCGGGGCGAGTTGCACTGCCCGGCCCTTTAAGCATACCGAGTAAGAACCCTTCTAGGCAGAGCCTAGGTAAGGAATCAAACAGGGCAGGGCTGTTTAATAAACGCCCAGAGCCGTTTAGTAAACGCGAATTGTCTGGTCTGGGTGGATTTTCCTCCCTTGATTCGAGGCGGAGGAGATGCCGCCGTCGACGCGCGAGGTGGCGCGGGTCGCTGGGCGTTCGAGGCCGACCACCCTCGCGCGAGCTCAAGAAGGCTCCTCCCACCGCCACGCTAATTCGCAGACTAGCTATCGAAGTGCGACTGTATGGGCAACATGAGAAAGGCCACAAGTAACGCTTTTCTGAACCATCCCACTTGCCCTTTGGGCTCGGGTGGTCTAGCGAGGTCTTTCTTTCCTCTTGCAGAAACCCTCTTCCCCTCTGGGAGGGGTACCCTCCCCGATGCTCCAAGAGATGGCCTCCAAGGTGGCTCAAGATAACCGAAGGCGGTTCAAGATCACTTCCGACATACCTCCAAGAGGTAAGACGAAGGCCGCAAGACGGATCCAAGTGCTTCCGAAGCCCCCTCCAGACCTCCCCAAAAGGCCAACATATCCGTCAACATCCTGAGGAGCATCAAGGGTTTTTGCCTTCTCGCCTTTTCGCTTCCGATGCGCTTTTGAGGTCTCAAGATGACCCAAGAGGGGCCCAAGAGTCCACCCAGACGGCCCCAAGAGCGCCCAAGAGCGCCCCGGGAGGCGATTTTGATGGCCCCTGGGGGGGCAAGCAAATTTGAAATACCCCTCTTTTGATCGATAGCCTCCAAGATGGCCACAAGAGGCCCTCTGGGGCTACCGAGATGTCTGCCCCAAGAGCGCCTAACAGAGCCCCAAGAGCGTCCCACGAGGGCCCCGAGAGGCGGTTTGCCTCCTCCTCCTCCTCCTCCTCCTCCTTCTCCCCTCGCCCCCCCGCGGGCCCCAGGGATGGCCCGAAGAGGCCCGCCAAGGCAACCCCCTTGCTCCCAGAGATCTCTCTGTTCATCCTGCTTCCCTTCTATGCTTCACTATCTATACGATCACCCTTCGGGTAATAAGCAGGTTTGGGGAGGAGAACAGCCCACTGACAACGACTGTGATGACTGTGATGGCGATGAGATGGCAATATCGCACGATGACGCTGATGGTGATAATGAATAATGGTGAGTATAATGATGGCGACACAGCCGCGATGGAGCTCACACCACAGAAATGCGACCGCGCAATCGACTTCAATCGATTGATCTCATTATCGATCTCAGTATCGATCTCACTGTCGATCTCACACCAGATCTCACTATCGATCTCGCAACGAAATCCAATATCGATCTCACCATCGATCTGACTATCGCTCCCAATATCGATCGCCCTATCGATCTCGCTATCGGTCATATGATCGATCTCAATATCGACCTCACAAGAATCTCACTATCGACCTCACAAGAGATCTCACCAGGCACAACCAGGACACCACGACGGGCCCCCCCCCAGCCACGGCGGGGCATCCCCAACCAAAGATCTGTTGTGATCGATCTCGCTATCGATCTCACTATCGGCCTCTCGATCTCACGATCGATCTCACGATCACGATCGACTACGCAATCTATCTCACCATCGGTCTCACAACTGATCTCACGAGCTACCATCCGCGCCACCGACGGGGCACCCCGCGCCACCGACGGGGCACTCCCGCGCCACCGCCCGGGCACCCCTCGCCACCGACGGGACACCGACGCGCCACCGACGGGACATCCCTGGCCGGCCACCGCGCTTGGGGGGGACAACCGACAACCGGCTCCACGGCCCCTAGCGACGGCGGCATCATTCCTCTCGCGCGCCCACGCAGCTTCGCCTCGCCCGCACGCGCGACACGGACACGGAACCGAAACCGATTTCTCCCAATGGGGGGCTCACCGTTTCACTGCGATCTCAAGCCCAAACCTCCCGTACGTGTCTCTTCGTCCCTTTTCCCGGTTTCTGAATGGGCTGGTGGGGATACTTTTTTGATTGGCGGCTCCAAGGACAGATCCAGGAAGCGGGACGGGCTGGTGGGGATACGCGAAACATGAAGAATCAATTGTGTTCCCAGTGTCCTGACTCTCCCGTGATCCAGCCCCAGCAGGTGCTTCTTGAGATGGGCACTAAGGTTTCTCGCCATACGCGCTCTCTTTCTTTCTATGGCCTTTATTGGGTGTGCACCAAGTGCGGGTGCAGGGCGTTGCAGTGGAAGGGCCACCTAAGGGACCTGGCCAAAGAGTATACGCCCGCGAGAGGCGAACCCCCCACTCAGATGGGTTCGTGGGCCCTCCAGCGTGCTTCCGAAGGGAGGCCACTCAAATGATGTCCCCTTGAGGTAGCGTGTTCCGACAGAGTCGGCTTGGGGTAATCCTTGGGCAATCCTCCCTCTAACACGAAGCCATGACGAGGATAGCATCGGGTGATGATAAATCAGGAATCTCTGAGATCCGGCGGCTCTGGAACATCCTGCTCACAGCGTTCTGGATCGCTCGGAGAGCGTTGCGGAACGCTCCGGAACGGACTTGTCTTCGTCCCAGTCCCGTCCGAATCCTTGGGCAATCCTCTCTCCTTCGCCCGGGAGGACGACGCGGAGGGACAGCTTTGGGGGACCTACTGACCCGGGTCAATCCACACCTGGGTCAGTCAGGCCTTGCAGTATCCATCAAGATCTTGCAGGCTCCTGCAGAATCCTGCACGCTGGCCAGGGTCAATGCAACCCTGGCTCCGCAAGATCTTGCAAGATCTGGCGCTCTGGCTGACCCCCGTTTGCATTGACCCCCGTCGAGCCCCGACGCTTTCAGCCGAGCCCGGAGTCCCCCGGGGACCCCGACGGGAGCACCGCGCCGTCTTCTCGCGCGCCCGCGCGCGCCGCCTGCGGGCGCTTCGGCGCTAGAGGCTGGGGCGCGCAGCGGGAAGCAAGACTAAAGGGGCCCCAGGACACACAAATACATACACACAAAAAGACAAGTATTCCCAACATTTTCCCATATGTTTGGGGGTTCCGTCTTCCCCCCCCACTTCCCATATTTTCCCATATTTTCTGGGGGATCGACGATTAATTCCCCACATGTTTCGTGGGGTTCTGTTTTTTTCCCTGCCGCGCCGCACCCGCGTCTCACCTCCTCCTCCTCCTCCTCCTCCTCCTCCTCCTCCTCCTCCTCCTCCTCCTCCTCTCCCTCCTCTTCATTCCTCGCTTGGAGGGACAGCACGCATGGCATATTCTCGACACCAGAGGGGGTGCGCAGGGGGTGGTCTCTCACAGCGGCCGCTATCCCGTGACGGTCGTCCGGGGCACAGCAGGAATGGCATATTCTCGACACCATAGGGGGTGCGCAGGGGGCGGTCTCTCACCGCGGCCGCTATCCGTGACGGTCGTCCAGGGCACAACAGGCATGGCATATTCTCGACACCATAGGGAGTGCGCAGGGGGTGGTCTCTCACCGCGGCCGCTATCCGTGACGGTCGTCCTGGGCATAGCAGGCATGGCACGTCTCGGCACCATAGGGGGTGCGCAGGGGGCGGTCTCTCACCGCGGCCGCTATCCGTGACGGTCGTCCAGGGCACAGCAGGCATGGCATATTCTCGACATCCGAGGGACAGCAGGCATGGCATATTCTCGACACCATAGGGGGTGCGCAGGGGGTGGTCTCTCACAGCGGCCGCTATCCGTGACGGTCGTCCAGGGCACAGCAGGCATGGCATATTCTCGACACCAGAGGGGTGCGCAGGGGGCGGTCTCTCCTCCTGTCCCTCCTCTTCATTCCTCGCGTGGAGGGACAGCAGGCATGGCATATTCTCGACACCAGAAGGGGTGCGCAGGGGGTGGTCTCTCACCGCGGCCGCTATCCGTGACGGTCGTCCAGGGCACAGCAGGCATGGCATATTCTCGACACCAGAGGGGGTGCGCAGGGGGCGGTCTCTCACCGCGGCCGCTATCGGTGACGGTCGTCCAGGGCACTGCAGGCATGGCATATTCTCGACACCATAGGGAGTGCGCAGGGGGTGGTCCCTCAGCGCGGCCTCTATGCGTGACGGTCGTCCAGGGCACTTGAACTTGTTCCAGCGCGGCATCCATCGAACTTGTTCCCGATGAAGGATAGAAAGCGGGGAAGAGGGAGGAGGTTCATTCAGTAGTGTGTTGGATGATTATATAGGGCAACATTCGCGACGAGGGTTTAGAACGCAGGATTGCGCATATATGATAATGAAGAGCAAATACATAAGATTTAAATTAAGTATATGGGGTTCCTCGGTAGCGTAATTATGTTTGTGTGTTTTCCCCTCCTGAAAGACCCGCCTCACGGGTGGGACCGTCGAGACACGACCTCGGAACGGCAGGCGGGCCCCTGGATTTCGAGCTGCCGTCGTCTCCGCGCGCCCTGCACCGAACCGCCCTCCCGCTCCTCGCGCCGAGCTTTAGCAGGCAAAGACCGCCGCGGAGCTCACGATGCCCCAAGTTCAACCCTCGTGGGAAGCGGATCCAGTCGGAATGCGGGCCGGATCGGGCCGCATCGGCACGGGGACCAGATCGGATCGAGACGGCCGCACCAAGATGCACGACAACGCCATGCAAACATCGGACCGAATCGTATCGTCGGAATAGGGATCGAGTGGAATCGAGCCCGCCAGAATCGATATCGAAACGGATCGATCAGATCGAAGTGGGCACCTGCAAACTTCGAGAGCGGGCGTAAAACAAACACAACGGAAGCAAAGCGGAGGGGGGAAATGGGACGGAGGATGTTCCCTTGACAGCGTCTCGCTGGAAGGCTCGAACATCGCCGAAAAGAACTCCCAGACCTCATGAGCACCAGCACCAGCATGAGGGCGCAATAGCCCACTCGCCCTTCCCAAGGGGGCGCAGGCGAGAACCCGTGGCATCGGTTCGACCAAACGCGGCCTTGTTGTACTGTCTTACCCTACCAACTCCAGGGTCAGGAAGGTTGCACCACCACCGGCAGCAACAACACCAATCCCCTCCCCCTCCTCATGCGCATGCTCAATTCACCATGGTTGCCCGCTTTGATTCACGGGATGTGCCTCTTCTTCCCACTTCCCGCCTGCTGTCATGGTCAGCGCTTCTGAATGGGATGGTGGGGGTACCGCGAAGCGTGCAGAATTACGGCTGGACCTCGGACAGAAGAACATCCTTCAAAAGCTTCAGACCCCCCGCTGGCCAAACCGAAGCACATTCGAGGGTACCCTACCCCAGGATGCACAAGAACATCCAGCAGGCACGACGAGAACTAACATACCCTTCCCGAACCGACCTCGATCTCATACCTCGGCCCGACCGTAGCTGTCCTCCCCTCCCTCCTCCCCTCGGGGGAGAGATGCAGCGGTAGAGGCCTCCTAGATGCGGTCCGAGTATATGGGGTCGGAGGATCGCGCCGCATCGCCGATACATCCGCGATGCATCGTCGATGCATCGCCGATACATCGGCGATGCACCGGCGATGCACCGGCGACGTCGGCGATGCATCGGCGACGTCCGCGTGAAGCAAATCGGGCTCCACATCAAGCCGCATCGTCGATGCATCGGCGATGCGGCGCGATTCTCCGACCCCATCTGCTCCGACCCCATCCCGGACGCCTAGACCGTAGCTTTGTGGATGCCACGACCATGGACAACCCAACAGTCCCACCATTGAATCCTAAATCTGTTGAAGATATGGGAAAAAGTTCTCAACATGTTTTGAACACGTTCGAAACCTCTGGGAATCATTTGGCAACATGCTTCCTCTCCATTGATCGCCCTCCACAACCGTAGGCTGTCCTCCTAAAACGGGGCCAGGATCGGGATACATCGCTCCAGAGCGTTCCGGAGCGCTCTCAGAGCCTTCCGAAAACGCTCTGGAGTGGCCGCGGCGCCCCATACGTCCTCCAAACCCGCCGATCCTCAGAGATTTCGAGCTATCGCGATCCGATTTTGTCCCAATCTTCGCGTCGTTTTACCTCCTCCTCCTCCTCCTCCTCCTCCTCCTCCGTCCTCCTCCCTCCTCCCTCCTCCTTCCCCCTCCTCCTTCTCCTCCTCCCTCCTCCTCCCTCCCTCCTCCTCTCCTCCTCCTCCTCCTCCTCCTCCTCCTCTCCCTCCTCCTCCTCTCCTCCTCCTCCTCCTCCTTCCTCCTCCGCCCTCCCTCTCCTCCTCTCTCCTCCCTCCTCCCTCCTCCTCCCCTCGGGGGGAGGGGTGCCGCGGGCCGCCTCGCCGCCCGCGCCGCCCGCGCCGCCCGGCGGCGCGGGCTCGGCGGGGCCGCCCGCGCCGCTCGCCGCGGGGCTCGGCTTGCTGCCGGGCCTCGAGAGCGCGCCGGACTTCAGCCTCGCGCGGGGGCGCTCTCGGAGGCGCTGCTTATATCTGCCGTCGGGGCGTTGACCCAAGGAGCTCCATGTAAGGAACGAGGCCCCTCTTTTCCAGAAGTGGGACTTCGATTTCCGATCGGAGACAGAAGGAAAACGTGAGGCAAGCTGTGAAACACTTAAGGAACGCGGAGCCCCTCCCCAACGAAAAGGGTTCCTTCTTCAGGGCCCCGACTGTACCTCTGGCGTGAAGCAAGGGGCAAGGAACAAGTCTGAAGTCGGGCCTGTCCTCCCACAGGGGGATTTTGGACGAAAAACAAGACATGCCCAGAAACTACCCCCAAAGGGTCAAAAATATGCAACAAATCGTCCCCAGACTATTTTTTCACTATTTTTGAATGTTCCTCCTGTAGAGGGATGTGCCCGACTTAAATCTAGCGTTATGTTGCCCCCATCGTACTTAAGGACCACATCCCAGAAACAATTTCGAGCACCCGGAAAAGTGTCGAAAGAGTGTCGAACGGGTGTCGAAACAGCCCTCCAGGGCCCGACACGTGAACACCCTCGAGTTTCGGTCTTTTATTTGGTGCTCGAAATTCTTTCTGGTGATCGAGGCTACCCATCGGTCGGAAGAAGTAGGTAGAAACATGAAATAGGAAGGCGTTGGAAATAGATTGGGTTTCCGCACGCCTCCTGAAGAGGAAGGAAGAGGGAAAACCACTCGACTCTTGAAGTAGGAAGGCGCTGAAAGTAGATTGTAATCTGGGAATCCAAAAATACCTACTTTCAACGACCGATGGGTACAGTAGGTCGGAACATCATAAGTCTAGCGTGAAGGAGCTGGGCCCCGGAGGGTCACGCATCGAGGCTCGGGGCGGAGCTCCCCGCCCCGGCCCTCGCGTCTGTCGTGGCCCTCGTCTGCGCGGCTTGATGCCCTTACCAGTCTTGGGTCGGGCGTGCCCCCCTACAGGGGGGATTGTGGACGAAAAATAAAACAGTAAAAAAATGCCCCAAGATGCCAACTAATACTCAAACATTAGTCCCCAGACTATTTTTTTGACAATTTACCTAACAGCGAAGACTGATAGGTTTCTAGTAGGGTTAAAACAGAGCATCATCACGCCCCAGGGGGGTCTGGGCACGATCTGGGGGAGGATGCCGGGGGGATGCTGGGGAACTCGTTTTAAGCAAACAGTAACGCACTTCGTGGTCTTCGAGTTCCCAGAACTCCATTCCTGGGCATGATTTTGAATGCCCGGAGCCAACTGTAGGCCACTTCGTGTTCTCCGTGTTCCCAGAGCACCATTCCCAGGCCACATTTTGAATGCCCGGAGCCAACTGTAGGCCACTTCGTGTTCTTCGTGTTCCCAGAACACCATTCCCGGGCCACATTTTGAATGCCCGGAGCCAACTGTAGGCCACTTCGTGTTCTTCGTGTTCCCAGAACACAATTCCTGGGCCACATTTTGAATGCCCGGAGCCAACTGTAGGCCACTTCGTGTTCTTCGTGTTCCCAGAACACAATTCCTGTACCACATTTTGCTTGCCCGATGTCCCCGTCTTATCCCCTGCTACCCGCTTGCTGTCTCGTTCTCTCTGTCATCGGCTTGCAAAGCATGCGGTACTTTGGTATGCCGTTTGAGCACTTGCCACTGCGACTGCCATTGCGAATGCGATTGCGACTCCGAGCACACCAGAATTCTACAACAGGAATCCTACATGAATCTAAAGGGGAATGCTTCCAAATATGCTCATACACATCGCTGTTAGGTTGCTTTGCCGGGATAATTTTGAATATTCCCCCTGTAGAAGGACATGCCCGACTCAATACCAGTCCGAGCCATCCACACGACAGGCGCCGTGCCAGCTGCCACTCTGCACATGGATTGCGAACAGACCTGCAAACAGCCTCTCTCGGGGTGTCCTTGCCGTCTGATGCTGTTCTGCACGAGATTTGCCAACGTGGACCCCTAAACAGCGAGTTGTTGCCTTGTGGCTGTGGTAGCTGTGAGATTTCAGGTGCGTCGTGCACACTGCGAGCGATGTGGTGCAGATGCGTAGTGCAAGTTGTGTGGCGTAAGGTATGTACTGGAGGGTATGCGGTGCAAACTACGAGGCGCAAGCTACGCGGCGTAGGATGCGGGATGCAGTATCCGTGGCACAGGCTGCGTGGTGCAGGCTGTGTGGCGTCAGCAGTGCGGTAAGACAGCCGGGCGGCAGCAACTATGCTATGAAACCTGTGAGGCCGCCCACTGCACGAGGCGCTCATCAGGCGCTTCTGGGCGGCGGGCACCGTGAGACAACCTGGCGCGACGCAGGCGGCGGCGCCCAGAGAGGCGCCCACGGCCGGGCACCCGGCGATACCTCGGCACGCCCGCGCCGTGCGCGGGGGGCGCCCGGCGAGGCCCTCACGCGCGAGCACGGGGGCGGAACAGCGGCACTCCCGCCCAGCGCACCGCGGTCCGCAAACGGCCCATCGAAGCCTGAGCCGTCCCTGAGATTTCCCTTGCGCGTCCGATCATGGGCCCCTCGCCACGCATCTTGGCTCAAGTCGGGCACGTCCCTCTACAGGAGGGATCCTCCAAAACAGTCCAAAAACAGTCGGGGGACGATTTGGGGCGCTTTTTTTGACCATCTGGGAGCATTTCTGGGAACTTCTTCGTTTTTCATCCAAAATCCCCCTGTAGGACAGGCCCTGCTTAAATCTGGGCCCCTGAAAACTGCCGGAAGACCGGCGGAGACCGCCAGCGCGCGCGCGCGCCCCGCCGCGGGCGCCGGGGCCCCCGACGCCGTCTTCGGCGGTCTTTCGGTGGTCTTCGGCGGTCTTTTGGCGGTCTTCGGCGGTCTTTCGGTGGTCTTCGGCGGTCATCTGTGTGGAGTCCCAGCTGAGAAACTTCCCATTGCGCTCCCCCTCCGTGGGAATCCGGACATCACCTGCTTCGTCTGCAACTTCCTCATACATCGTAGCTGCCACATCCAAGCCCCCAAGTCTTCCTGCAACTGCGGAGCACAGGGGGAAGCACAAGCAGAGACGCGCCCGTTCACAACGGCGTGTCCATCCTCGAGTGGGAACTTCCCTAGCAACCCACATAGAACTTGTGTGCCCTACTGGATACCTCCCCTGGTCTTGATGCAGTCGCAGTCGTCTGACTCGAAGCTGAGTTTCGCAACCGACGATTCCCCACCGCGACGACATCTGTTCGCGCGTCATAGATTTGAAACGGCCCCAAGATTCTCTGTCCGTTGCGTCGCCCGACATAGCTATTTTACCCAGTGAGACAAGTCACAAATCAAGAGATCTATGATCGTCTTTGTTCTGGGCGAACGATCCCATCGCCGAAAGGACCGTCGAGGCCGAGGACAGTCGAGCGCCGCAATTTGAACTGCAACGGGAGCGACCTACAAAAACATAAGCTCCTTCCGCCGAGAAGTGGAACACATATTCTTGATCATTTCTGTTTCGCCCGATCGCATGGGGCTGAAACGCTTCGTCTAATCGATCGTCCACAACCTTCAATTTCCGCGGAGCCCCCTTGAAAATCAACTTCAATTCAGACAAAACAAAGCGAAGAAAATCGTCAACCGCCTTGAATACATTCAAATCCACCCGTAAGTGTCCGATGGCACCCACCAAGTGCCGAATATGTGCGTCCTCGCGCGAGAAAACACCACGCCAAACCGTGACAATGCGCGAATAAATCTCCATGAATAAATTCACCGTGAACGGATCTTCGATTACCTCACGCTTCCAAATTTTTACAACAGAAAAAAACAATATTGCCCTGGCAAACTGACCGCGACAAAACGATACCGCTGTCGACACAGTCCGCGATCTATGTGCGCGACGTTCATGTCCATGCTGACGTCCATCTGTGACCATGCCGTGCTGGCGAATGCAGTGGTCATGCCCTCACAAGCGATGCTGTGTGTTCTGTGGCATTACCTCAATCTCCAACTCAGAGGCGATGCTGCCAAAATGGGGTCCTCTCGTCTCCACCCTGGATGGAACCCTCCTCCTCCTCCTCCTCCTCTTTCCCCTCCTCACCCTCTTCCTCCTCCTCCTCCTCCTCCTCCTCCTCGTCCTCCTCCTCCTAATCTCCCTCCTCCTCCTCCTCCTCATCCTCCTCCTCCTCCTCCTCGTCTTGACCCTGCCAACGGGCCCACGGGCGCAGAGCCTCCCAAACCCGCAAACTGAAGAGCGCTCTCCCTCGCCAGCTCTGGCAGGCTCGTGCCGTGACGGCCTCGCGCACATTCAGACTGGTGGCTCTGCCCTGCGGCCCTGCGAACGTAGAGCGCTTTGCCGATCACGGGTACGAGGTAGACCTGCCTTCGCCCTCTAGGGGCCAAGCGTATCCGACTTAGGTCGAACAGCCGTGGCTTATGCGTCTGAAGCGGAGGCACCCACGAAGACGCATCGTTACACGGCCCGTCTCGAGAGGTCTCCAAAATAGAGGAACCCTTGGCGGAGTTAGAGTCGACCCAAGACCCATCCCACATCACAGGCTCCGATGCTGATGCAACAGAACGAGCCACGGTTCCATTAGGAATGTATCGTGTGGAACGCTCTTTCGTTTCGCAGCCCGTCGGATGTAGGCGCGAATCGAGCTAATGTCTGACTGGCCCCTGATTTTCACGCTCGCGCCGCCAAGAGTCCCACTGCAAGGGCACCGCCCGCATCCCCCCACCACTTCTTCACTGAGACCACGTCGAACGCCACGACTCCATGGTAGGACGGGCGCCTGGTACTCACCTGCAGTAGGGTTGTCTAGGCCCGTGCCTGGAAGACGTGACCTGCCTGCGCAGTCTCACCGCCTCGGCCGTCCGTCGGCCTCGCGAGAACTCTCGCGCCTCTCGAAGTGGGGACCTCCTCGCGGGGGCAAGGACAGGCGACGCCAACACCACCAGGGCGAGGAGACGAGGAGCGGGGGGCGTCGCCCTGGTGGTGTGGTCTCCCCTTCTCGCTCGAGACGCCCCTAGCCTCCAGCTCGGGGAGGCATCGTGGACCTCCTCGCCCCCCTGGTGGTGCTGGTGTCGCATCTCCTCCCTCCGATCCTCGCACGTCGAGTGGATCTCTGCTGCTGCCGAAGCGGAGACGATACCTGCCACTGCACCGACCCTGCGGATGTTCTGCAGCGGGTCTTTGCGTAGATTCCTGCCGATTCAACACCCCGAAACGGCGAGTGAAACACGACGTGAATTTCGCGTGGATTTTGTTTAAGGTCTTCCTGGCCAAAACAAATCCGCACGAAATTCACTTCGAAATTCTCCAGGACACTCCGGGCCCATCCTATCGTTTTCCGAACGAAATCCGCTCTGCGATGTCGGCGCCATGATACCTAGGCGCAACTTGCGCTCCAATCCCTGCAATTCTCCAGGATCCGCTCCTCCCCGTCCTCCCTTAAGGTGAGCTCGCGCCCGTAAAACTGGCGCCCGTGGGCCGACTTCGAAGAACAAGTCGAACTGAGAGGACTCTGTGTGAAGAAAGGCTTGGCCGCGTCAACACAGCAAGGCTCAAGTGTCTTGAAAATAGCGTATGGGGAGTTATGCTTACTAAGATAGCGAACTGGTTGATCGTTTAGCTGATTAGTCACATATTCTAGATACTCTGATCTGATATCACCGCTTAATTCCGTCCATACATTGCAAATCGTCCCAACGCGTACCTTCAAGATGTTCTAGGGCCGAACCGTACACGTCATATGACAGGGCCATGATGACGGGGACATGATCCTGGGGAGGGGATCCTGAGAAGGCCTGGAGACAAGCACCCAAACGACCCTGCACATGGCAATGCAGAGCACGAACGGAACTCCCCCCGGATACGCCATGTAGTCCAGTCTGCTACCGTTGCCCATGGGTAGGTCCCATGCGCTGAGAGATCGCGTTCTCCGCCACCAGAACATGTTTCTCGTAAGTGTTCCGAAACAGAGCACCCGCCCCACGCACAAAATGCTCCCTCCTCGCCATTCCTACCGCCGAGATCAAAACCGAACGCCGCTCGCCATCCGCGAATCTCTTCCCCATCCCGTCATCGAGGTCTCGTCGTGGAAATCGCCGAGAAAAACGGTCAAAACCCGCGCTGCCCATTGTTACAAATCCCAGACAATCCTTAAATACGCACTACGTTTATCCCTCTGGCTCGGCCTGGGTGGACAAAACACAGCCAATAAGCACTGCAACCGTCCGCCCTGCGAGGATAGAGGGCTGCCCCACACTTGATGGATGTGCGGCGCTTTGATGAGCCGATGCAAGCCCGGCAACTCAGGGCTGGACCTCAACAACTTCTATCGTTTTGTCTTGAATTCGCCTTCGCTGCAAAACGAAGCCGAAACGAAAACGGCCCACGAAATCGCCCAAACACCGTTTAGGTTCAGCCCTGCCGCAACTCTTGTTGCCATGAGGTTCCGAAATCGCCACCGTTTCTATCAAAAATCCGCCCATGACCCGTTCCTGTAGCATCTTGCCAATACTATCTCGTGCCGATGATTATGTGCCCGCCAATCGTGTTGCGTCGAAAGTGTCAAATCCAGGTGCAATTCCCTCTAATCGCTGCCCAGTTGCCGATTGTGGGCTCACACCAATCACCGGGAGGATGGGCTGGCACTGAGACGCCATGGCAAGCACTCTGGGCTGACCACTAGATGTGCCCGATTGCCCCCCCCACTTGAATACTCTCGAGCAGGGGCTGGAGGAGGAGGAGGAAAAGGGGGAGGAAGGGGACGAGGGTCAGGGAGGAGGAAGGAGGGGAGGGAGGACGGAACAGGGAAGAGGAAAGAATAGCGGAGGCGAGGGAAGGGAGGGAGGCGGGAGGGGAGAAAGGATGGAGGAGGGGACAGGGAGGGAGGGGAGGGGAGGAGGAAGGGAAGGAGGAGAGGGGAGGGGAAGGGGGGAGAGAGGGGGAAGAGGGAGGGCTGGGAGAGGAGAGGAGGGCAAAGGAAGGGACGGGGGGGGGAGGAGGGGAGGGGGGGAGAGGGGGGGGGGGGGAGGGGGGAGGCAGGGAGGTGGACGCCGCCCCCCGCCGAGGGCGCCGCGCCTCGCGCCGAGGGCTGCGACCTTCGCCGCCTTCTGCAGCTTCTTCGCCACGGGGATGCGCTTGAACATGGACTCCTTCCGCAGGGCTGAGCCTCCGTAGTTTTCGGTGTTTTTTTCTACCTCCATAATTTTCGGCCCGAGTCGCGAGAGAGCTTAAGCGCCAGTTGGGCTTCTCAAGAGCCCACGGGCCGGCGCTAACACTTACCATCGCCTGTTGAAAAACATCGTGCGCCCATCATCCACAGGATGCGCTTGAACATGGACTCCTTCCGCAGGGCTGAGCCTAAACGGTGTTTTTCGTCTTCGTTTTCGTTTTGTTTTCGTTCTCCCTCGTTCTGTCTTCCATCCGCCTTTCGACCGCAAGGCGACATCGGAACGAAAACGGCCCACGAAATCGCCAAAACACCGTGTTCAGGTCCAGCCCTGCCCTTCCACAGACAGACGAGCGCGCTCCACCACTCGCAAACTCACTGCTCGCAAATGGCCCGGATCCGCCGCGGGGGACCTGCAGCCAACCCGTGTAATAAGGACAAGCGACAATGACACGAGGGCCTTGGACGCCCATCTCGCAGCTTTTCGAGCGGGGCGCGGCCAACGAGAGCGGCCAAGGATGGGCCGAAGGGCAAGGATGCAAGGGTACCCTTGGGAAGGCTGCCCATCCTTACTGTGCGGGTTGAGTGTGCGATGCATCGCATCGAAGACGGACATGCGCTGTTCGGACGTCTGCGAGCAGGCACTCCGCGAGCAGCGGCACGCGCGCTCGGCGAATAGAGGCCTCCCGGATGGGGGCGGAGGATCGCGCCGCATCGCTGATGCATCGGCGATGCACCGGCGAGGCATCGGCGACGTCGGCGATGCCTCGGCGAGGTCGACGTGGAGCACGTCGGGCTCCACAGCGAGCCGCATCGCCGATGCAGCGGCGATGCGGAGCAATCCTTCGAGCCTTTCTGCTCGGGGGCGGCCCAGAAGGGGGTGTCCGACCTGTCCGAGGGGGGGGGATGCCAATCATGGCCGGCGGCAGGTGCGCGGCCCAAGCGGGGGGGGCCAAGAACGTCACGAAATAAGAAGAGGCGCCGTGAACTGTGAGGAAATATCATGGCCCGCGCCATGACATCCCCCACCCCTGGTCCTCACCCCCCTCTTTGCCGCCCCCGATCTGCTCGGACCCCATCTCGGAGGCCTGGATTCCCGGGTCGGGCGGCAGGGCGAGGGCAACGGCCTCTCATCCCCCGACCCCCTTCGCGTCGCCGCCAGAGCTCACGACGGGCCTGGCTCGGCCGTCTCTGGCCTCCCCCAGAATCGGCGGTGGACAAACCTCCCTTCAGTACAGTCGGCCTCGATTGGACAGGACACGCGAGAGGACACAAGACCCTTCCGGGGGCCACATCGCCATAGGAGTGTGAGAAGGCACGTGTCGCGAGGCAAAGGACACAAGGGTACCCTTGAGCTGGCAGGGTCGACCTACTATTCCGGGCCGACTGTAAACCCTCCCTGAATGAAAACGGCCTAGAACCGAAACCGACGGACCTGGACCCGCAAAAATGACGGACGCGACGCCCTCTCGCGAACCGAAAACGGCCAATTCCTTAATCGACGTGTCAGGGTAGGAGGTCTACCAACCTCCGACAGAAGAAAAAGAAACGCCGTACACATAAACTTTTGGCGCTCCGCGCAGATTTCTTGGATCTGCGCCGGACCCCCCTCCTTGGCGCGCGGAGCGCGCCAGGGGCGCGCCTCCGCCGGGGGGGCCCAGCGCGGATCCAAGAAATCCGCGCGGAGGGCCAACAGTTTATGATTAATGGCGTTTTTTCTTCTTCGATCCCCGCCAGAAGCACAGTCATAATTCTGGACGCCCGAAATTGGCACGGAAACAATGGGCATAATGCCCAACAGCAAATGTTGTCCCGAACCAGCAGCGGCCGCTGTTTGGCAGGCGGCCTTCTGTCTCAAGCGGGCACAATCCGCGGCGACGCCGACAGCGAATCCGGTTCAAAATGAGCAAGAACTGCTGTCGGTCTTTGTACCCATTCTTTCCGTACCCATGTCGGTCGTCCGGAATAGGCATTTCCTCCTCCTACTCCTGCTCATCCTCCTCCGCCTCCTCCTCCTCCTCCTCCTCTCTCCTCTTCCTCCCTCCCCTCCTCCCACTCCCCCTCCTCCTCCTCCTCCTCCCCCCCCCCTCCCCCTGGTTTCTGGGAAAGCGTCGGGACAGGCACGGCGTCCGTTGGGGGGGGGGTCGCGAGTGGGGCGCGCGGCCTGCCGAGCAGGCGCGCGGCTTCTGAGAAGGCAGAAGGCTCCTCGGAAGCACCCCCGACTGCGGGGAAGCCTTCACAGAATTAGGTCGGGCCTGTTCCCCTACAGGGAGATTTTGGACGAAAAGTAAAACAGACCCAAACAGTGCTCAAAAGGTGCAGAAAAATACGAAGACATACTCCCCAGACTATTTTTTATACTATTTGTGCATCTTCCCCCTGTAGGGGGACAGGTCCGACTTAATCATAGAAGCCTCGGGCACTTCAGAACAGGAGCCTGCGTTCTGATAAGCCCTCCGCCTTCTCAGAACAAGCAAAAAAAACCTCCCTCGCGCCATCCCCTAGTGCGCGCTGCCAAACGATGTGAATATATATATATATATATATATATATATGTGTGTGTGTGTGTGTGTGTGTGTGTGTGTGTGTGTGTGTGTGTGTGTGTGTGTGTGCGTCTGTGTGTGTACCCTCCCGGGCCAGGACGGGGCGCGCCGCGAGGCGTTAGAGCGTCTAAGATGGCCCAAGATTGCTCCAAGAGGCGTTCAAAGTCGCAAGATGGCCTCCAAGATGGCCCATGTTACTTCAAGATGGGTCAAGATAGCCTCCGACATACCCCCAAGAGGCCCCAAGACAACCCCAAGACGAATCGAAGTGCCCTTCGAGCCCTCCACGGCGCTCTCCAAGATGCCCAAACCCTTCAAAAACCTATGGAAAATCATGTTTTTGGCATTATCGCCTTTTCGCTTCCGATGGGCTTTGGAAGCCTCAAGATGGCACCATGATGGCCCAAAAGGGCCCCAAGAGGGGCCCAAAAAGGCCGAAGACGGCCCCAAGATCGCCCAAGAGGCGCCCAAAACGGCCCCATGACGCCGTTTGAGAGCCTCCACGGGGGGGATCCTAATTAAGGAACCTCCTCTTTTTGATACATGGGGCCCAAGATAGCCCCAAGAGGCCTCCCAGCCTCTCCCAAAGACCCTCCGCCCTGCCCTTTTTGGCCCAAAATGGTTCCAAGAGAGCCCTAGATAGCCCAAACTGGCCTTCAAAATGGCCTAAGATAACCAACCATGGCTCAATATAGCCTCCGACAGACCTCCAAGAGGCCTCAAGGTAGCCTCACGATGGCCCAAGATAGCCGAGCATGGCTCAATATAGCCTCCGACCGCCTCTAACCGAGCATGGCTCAAGATAGCCTCCAAGAGACCTCAAGAAAACTGGCAATCAATTGTGGTTGGGCTGGTGGGGATACTTTTTTGGTCGGCGGCCGCGCGACAACGGTCTGGCGGCAACAGGCGTGTCCGGGACGGCGGAACAGGCAAATTCCACGCAGGGCGTGCAATGCACGTGCACCGAGCAAAATGCTCCGCATTCGAGGTGACGCACCTAGCGCACAAAGGTGCGAATGCTGCGGAGTAAGTCACCCTTGCGGCGCCAAGCTCCGAGCATCTGCCCAGACAGACAACTATGTACCAGCCTGGGGGGCCAGATGCACGTAGTGGAAAACGAAGGCCGACGACGCCGAAGGCTGAACCACCAAAAGCTGGTGGGGATACGCGAAACGTCAAGAATTAGTTGAACGCACCCGGTGATGCTTTACTCGCCAGCGCAGTCTCTCTGTCTAGCCGCCGTCGTATTAGTATATATATAGGATTATAAAGATATATGAACATATATCTGTATAGAAACGTATGTGGGTGTGCGTGTGTGTGTGTGTGTGTGTGTGTGTGGAGCGGTCCGGAATCATCTGCCATTCGGCTACACGCGACTGCGACCCCAAGCAAGAGTGCCGCGTGGTGGTGCGCAGCTTGCCGGTCGTCTGAGGCGGTTCGCACTCGGGATTGCCTTCAATGCGCCGCCCCCCCCCTGAAAGCCGCGCGCCAAAGGTCACTCCCAGGAAGGGTCACTCTTGCAGTGGAGGCCAGTCCACAGGAACCCTTCCACAAGAAACCCAACCCTGAGACCCCAGGGCGTCCATGGATGTGGTGGTGTGGGCACGTCACGCTTCCCATGGCAGAACCATCGAGACCCAAGAAGCCCAGGGCAAGCCTGGAGGCAAGCAGGGGTGTTTTCTAGCCTGGGCCCCCACGGCACGTGCAACCGATGCATGCAGCTTGGTTTCCTCGGTTCCTCCCGGGCGCCAGTATGTAACTAATCACCGAGGGCAGCGCCCGGCGACCACACGGCTGGGCCGAGAGGGGCTGCAGACCGCAGACTTCGTAGCTCCCCTTGTTCCAACTCCCCCTCTTTGGACGCCTGGAGGCGGATGAGGAGGAGGAGGAAGAAGAGGAGGAGGTGGGTACGGGAACAAAAAGGTGGGTAGCTCCCCTTGTTCTATGTTGCTCCCATCGTGCCTCAGGACCCCATCCCAGAAATAATTTCGAGCGCCCCGAAAAGTGTCGAAAAGGCGTCGGTCGAGACAGTGTCGGACGAGTGTCTCCCACGGCCCGACACGTGAAAACCCTCGAGTTTCGGTTTTTTCCTGGTGCTCGAAATCCCACCAGCCCTCCGGGCGTCGGTGGTTTAGGGCGTTTCCTCTTCCACCCCTCCTTCCTTTCCTTTGGGGAGGGGTTTATCACTGTTCCCTATTAGTATACACTCCTCCCCCCAGGCGACTGGGAGCCAACCGGGGTCAATGCGGCCCCCCCCCACCATCCCTTGCAAAAACGAATACGAACACACACTTCGCCTCCAAATTCGGAGCATGCGCAGCGAACCCGATGCGGCCTCCCCCCGCCACCCTTGTCAAAAACAATGCAGAGTACACTTGGCGGCGGCGGCGGCTGCGGCGGCGCTGGCGGCGGCGGCGGCGGTGGTGGGGGCGGC